TCGCAATAGTACTTTCCATCATCATGCATGTGTCATTGTAAAAACATGAAGCCAGTAGCCTATGCGTCGTCTTCCATGAACATTTACGCCTTTGTTTTCCTTTGTGCTGAGATTAATAGTTTGATGCTATATGAAAACATATTTAACAACATATTTTCGGGATCAGTGGCTTAATGAAAGGGCCGAAGGTCCCGAGCTAGGCGCTGGGGACAGGGGGCTGCAAAGGCCCCCGGCGGTAGGAAGGGCGAAGCCCCCAGCCTCTCTTATGCTTGTAGCGTTTTGTAATGTATTTTAATGTCTTTCTTGGCACAATTGATTTATTAATTTTGTATCGTGATTTGACAAAATAAGCGTATTGTTAAGATAATATTTTGTTCGTCTCTAACTTAATTTCTTGTTACACATTGTTTAATTGTTATTATATTACATAAAACAAATTAGGCATATTAAATAAGGCTTAAATAAAACGTTCGATCAAAAGAATTAAAAAAATGTTTGTACTCTTTTCTAATTATTACTGGTACATGTGTTATTAGTATTATTGAAACTATTACACATAATTATGAAAGTAATTAAAAAAATAATAATGTCGGCGTCATTTGATGTATTTATAAAATCATAAAACATTTGAAGCTCATTAGATTAGGCTGTTGCTTCGACTATACATTTCCCCAGTACTGTATGCTATATGTTCTGTACAGTACGGAAGAATGCTGTTTAAGGATTTTTTTTCGGTCGGACAGAGTTTGAGGCAAACGTCAATTAAATTTGATAATTCCAACGATCTACCCCTTTTTCATATTTTTCCCAAGTCTTTAAATATTCAAAAATCTATATCTCATTAACTACTTTCCGTTTTTATTGTATTTTAAAAGCTTATTCAATTAGAATGATATAACCTATCTCAATTGATGTTATGCAGTCTTACGTCTTTATGTTTTAAATTTTATGCAGTCCGCCCAATAGTGCGAATCATTGGTAATTTTGTCTCAGTCATAAGCATGAGCATCTTAATTAATTATTGAGCTGCCTATGCGTGTAATGGAAAAAAAATCGCATTTTGAGCGAATTCGCCTCGAAAGAAACAACGGCCGATGAGTACGAAGGCACATAGCACCGGCACGTAAACAATAGGAAGGAAAAAATACACTGTTTATTTCGAATTACTGTAGTGTTTAATCACATTTGGGATAACAAATGAGTTTCAATTTGTTTTACGACTAGGCATATCATAGATTATAGGCCTATGTGTAGGCCTACTTTTGTTGGCCTAATGGAGTTCCTATTTACTGCCCTGCAATTTTCCATTGTACTACTTTCTAGGCAGCCCTACTAGGCTTAGGCCTACACCAGCGAAACTTGTTTGGCTTTTTTAGTGGGGGGGGGGGCGGCCGCACCCCTAGCACCCCCACCCCAAGCCTATAGTTAATATAATGAAGCGGCAGCAACCGTCCCTTTTAGTATCATAAATTAAAGTATCGCCAATAATTTATCAAATACTTTGAATACTCCGGTATCGTGCCAGCATATATAGGGCCTATACAAATTAGTTTGAAGAGAGATAATATCATATTTTATCATTCAATGCCTCTGAATAAGCAATGCCTGTTTATTGTTTTTGTTTAGTAATTCTACAGTTTTATTTTATTGCAACAAATAGGGCTATTCTTTTCTCCAAGGCATTTCAGACACGCATCATTATAAAATGAACAGGCCTATTAACAATAAGCAAACTTAAGTTGAAATATAAACACCTACCATTCATCACTATCCATCAGGTAATCATCACCAATGGGTTTAATACACAGAATCATAATCAGCTCACAACATTTAAACAAGTGAAAAGTGACCAATGGTCAATGGACCTTTCCGCTAAGCTCCGCCCCTTGCATAATGTCTGTCTCTTATACACATCTAGATGTGTATAAGAGACAGCGACGACGGCGGTCGATGATGATAGTGTAACTAATGCCTCCTTATTTGTTTTTTCCACGAATAGCTTAGTGTATTTCGGGAATTTAGAGATGAACATGGTCATTTAATATCCGACAACTTCAGACCCACCCAACCGCTGAACTGCAGAAATGTATACATATCCTTTGAAACCAGCGGCGGAAACATCCTTACTGTTTCCTTAATCGCAATAGTACTTTCATCATCATGCATGTGTCATTGTAAAAACATGAAGCCAGTAGCCTATGCGTCGTCTTCCTTCATTCGGTCAAAAGATAGGAAATTACAGTAACAAAACATACAAGGATTATAAATGACACAAATAAATGAAATAAGTAGGCCTATTGGAAAACATATTAACAAATGCCTATTGGCCAGGATAGCACAAGAAAACCAATAGCAGGTTTATTTCCATTGGGGTCCTAACTGTAAAAAAAAAAAACCTAAATATTATGTACCGGTGCATATGCTTTAATATTAATTGTTTTATTTTAATTAATCGGTTTTGTACATTTCTCCTGATTCCTTTCTCTAGGCGGCAAGATTTCATAGGCCATAATAATTATATGTTTCTTTTTCAAAACAAGTTTATTTACATGTATCACTTACGTAAGCAGTTCCCTTAGTTGTCGGTGAAGGACAATATGATGATATAAATATAACAGCTCAGTTTTCTATTTTGTTAGTCCATTCCTTTACGTCCGCTAATTTTTACTTCGCGTGTTTAAGTTATCGACATACCGGTATGGCTATTGTATTTTGGATTACATGTATATTCGTTTTATTTATAAATTTATCAACCTTTTTTGGAATCTACAAATCTCGAAATCTTTCTTCAGTGTGTCGTCTAAAAGTAATTAATTTATTATAATCGTTATTTTAGTCTAATCCTAAATATTTTTAGAAATTAATACAATTTGATCTCGGTGGGCCTACGTGCAAACCTACAATAAGTGGGCCTACGTGCGTGCTTCATATATTTCTGACTATTTATGGCAAATCCTCTTTTTTATGGTGTTACGGTATATAATTTCGGTGTTCCCACATGGTGCAAGTTTGAAGTTTCTTTAGAAGAATCAATCTTCTGAATTCGATCCTATTGTGATTAGGCCTATATGACAATGTTAAGCTGATATTAACAATGACTCAATAAATACCAGAAACCTATTATTATATTTTTTCAATAAAAATCTAGAGTAGGTGAATGACGGGGTGAACCGGTGAAACGTTCATCTGGCATTCTTTCATTTTATTCGGAGCCGATTTTGGGTTGTGGACGCCTGGAAGGTGTGGTTATTATTATTTTTGCAATAAAAATCTAGAGTAATGAACGACATTTTATTGGGAGCAGATTTTGGGTTGTGAAAGGTTAGGTTAAATGGTTTCAGTCCATTGCCATCTGGCTCTCTAAACCTATGGTAACGATATACCATATTTGGCTAAAATCTGACAACCCCTTCAAAATGCAATTAGCACACTGGATTGCCAGTTTAACAGACAAAATAAGCAGCATTGCTGAAACGAAACTGAATGAACTGTTGGTAGCAACGGTTTGTGCGCTGCACCACAGCTCAGTCGGCTAAACCGTTCAGGAAAGACGAGGCATCGTTTCTCAGAATCAGTGCATTGTAAAATTTACAACTGGAAATAAATCCAACCTAAATATCAACTTTAAAAGAGTATGTTTTGCTACAGAAACCACTAACGTTTTTGTCAGTCAATTTGTGTATATTGTCAAAAAAAAAACCCAAAAAAACCCTTATTATTGTTCAGACTTTTGTAGCTATGGTGATGACATTTCTATTTCTTATGTTCAATTGAAAATATTTAATGTATGCAATTTTAAAAATCCAATTGTATTTAGTCAGGAATAGTTGCTTATCAATCAATAATCATAATATAATATACGGTAGTAAAAAAGTTAATTCTTGCCGAGCCACGGGGCTCATATGGGCTGGAGCTTATTCCCGGATTCATATAACATAGGCCTACTATATATTTCGAATTTGTAAAAACTTTTTGACATCCTACAGCAAATACAAAATGTCTGTTACAAGATGAAATTACACTATTGGTCTGTCTCTGTTTTTTGTCGTCACAAAATTTGAGCCCAGATGGGAAGCTTCTGGATCATCAGGCTGCAGCTTCACTGTTTGCTTAATTTACTACAGCTCTCACGATCCTTGATCTTCCATTTGATTTACTGATTTATAAGAACGTTCATTAAACATCATGATAAAACTGTGTTGTAGTCTGAACACACTAGACACTGAACTTTTTAGGTCAGTCAGTAACCCAAAAAAGTTCACTGTGCGACAAAAAAATTTGTTGGTTATTCAGTGGTGGCGCAAGAGTCAGGAAACGGGTAAAGGGAAATAAAAACCACCCTGTTAGGGAATGCTGCCCCTTACATAGAGGAAGGTCAACACATTTTGTCATGGAGCAGAGTTCTGACAGTACTGTATAATAGTTCATATGGGTCGGCGTTATGCAACGTTTAAAGCACAGAGGGGTGGGGTGTTTTTGGGGTGAGATTGTTTAGAAATGCTTCCCTTTAGTCACTGGTTCACTGAATTTAATTATAAATTAGCTTAGTTTTGGAGTACTGTACCACTGTCTTTTTTTTTTTTTTTGGTGGGGTGCCATATCCCTGTTCACCTAACCCCTACCCATGGTTTACACTTACGTTGAATACTCAAAAAGGATCCCTCACTTGGGACTTGATATATCAAGTAATATAACTTGTTATTGGTGAGGATGACATAGGAATGAGATGACAGATGAAATAACAGAATTAACATAATTTGCAGTAAAAAATTCTTGTGAGGGACCTCCTGGAGAGATTGACTGAGGACTCGGTGGCAATAGTTAATTGAGTGAAGGATGATCCTTTTAAATTATGGTTGGAACCTCAGCCTGGTTTTAATAACATTGCTACACTGTCGCTACAGGGTTTCCAATGAAATTATGACACACAGTATACTTGAAAAGCAATAGTGTTTTTTTTTTTCTAGACACTATTTCATTAAGAGCATTCAACCAGTAAGTAATTTTACTTTTGTTTGTTTTATTTTCTTCACAATATAAAAACAACAGATAGTATTTGGAGTAAACAGAAAGATTACCTCTATCAACGAATTTTAATTTCAGGTGGTGAGATAAAAGTTGATAAAACTATATTAATATTAATTCAGATAATGGGCATGATATAAGCAAATACAGTGCATTCACCTACACACAGACTTCAATTTGCTTCCTTATACTAAAATGTATTTCTACTGAAAATTATTGATGAAAAAATCTTGTTTATAAAAGCAATTCTTACTTAAAATAGTTGCAGTTTGATTAAAATATATACGATTGTATCGTAAATAAATAATACTAAAACAACGTGTGGTGAATGCAACACTAATTAATGGCCGTATTTGATTCAGAATGCCATGGTGAATGTAAATTTCAGTAACTAAATTTATGTTTCCTTTTGCACCGACAATGGTGTTCTTCATCAAAATATGGAGAAAAATTAAAATTTGATATCACAAGAGATGAAAACAAATTGTTACAGATCTATCACTTCTTTTGTGTTTAACTACTTTAAAAATCTTAATAATCAATCTGTTACTTGTTTAAATTTTAGTATTTAGGTTGTTTTTAATTCTAACACAATGTTGAGATATTTGTTAGACTGCATGCATAAACACATCATGTCAGTTTTCTGCACCCTGTTCAAATTCTTTCCCCGACATCTTGGGCCTTGTTTATCTCGGAAAGCAACTTGAGAGCAGTCATTGACGCTGCATCATGGGATGCTTCAGTAGTTAGACCAGACCCATGGGCAACCAGTTTGGGGTTTGTGGTGACTGACACCAGAGACATAAATTCAGAAGTGTTGCCCTGAAGAAGAAATGAAAAATAAACATTTATGAAATATATAAACAACAAAAACAAATTAATAAATTAGTATATTAAAAGTAACTTGAATAAAATTATTAATAATTAAATCAAATGATATCAATATGCACTATAAATATAACACTAATTATAAATACAAATAATATATATTAAGGAGAGAAATGAATGTATTGTCTAATTAATTATTATTTTATTGAACAAAAAATAACAATATTCAAATTTATTTAAATTATATTAAATATTCATATTGTACAGCTCATCACAAATTACATCAAAAATTCATATTAGAACAACTGTTTACTTTAAATACAAAAATATTATATTGATTCTAAAAAAATTATAAATATTGAAGATGAAATAGAAAACAATATGGTTCCTTTAGCTAAATTAATAATTTGACTATATATATTTGCAATTTTCCACAAATTCAAGGTTGGTAGACAACAAAGGGATCAAATACTAGGAACAAAATTGCCCAACATTCAATAACAAAATTCAATACTAAAAAGATAATAAAAAAGAAAATAAACAATAAATGGGTAAAAACATGTATAAAATAATTAAATGTAAAATTTTGTTTAATCATTATTTGACAGTGTTACTATTGGCATGGTCAGTGGTCATAGCTTTTGTAAATAACTAGAAAATCATATATCAAATACCTTTGGAAAGTCTTGGAAGTGCACTCCCAATCCTTGCAGTTGACCTAAATACTCCAGTTGATGCTTAGGTCGCACCAGCTTGGCATCCTCCTCTAGACCTGGCGTACACGATTTTGCAGTCTTGATCAGTTCTGCTGCAGTCTCTGAACTACCATTGGTCAAAAGCTCTCGGGCAATGGCTGCAGTTAGCTGCGACTGCTTGTTGTTTGAAGCCACTTGTGGTACACGATTTATACCTTTGATTATTAATGATAATAATAGTAGCAAGTTGATGAATATGAATATAATTGCAAAAATCATCTAGTTTTTATGTTAACATAATTCATATAGTTTATACATTTGTACTTTCACAGTTCATTACAACACTAGTCAATATTTTTGAATAAATACTTTATATAAATTTGTTTACTATATTGTTAAGTGCTTTGAGGAGTTGTTGTATAGAAAACCATGAATGACATTTATTCTCCCTTGAAAAAGACTAATGGTTAAGGTCAGGCAAGATAAGACAGGTATTAAGGACCTCATTCCTTCCCACCATGATTCGTTACTTTAACAACAGTTGCTAAGGAGAGATAATTTGCATACCATGTTTAGGCAACAATCACCAGAGAGCAAGAAAAATGTTTTTTATTTAGCAAAACGGTCTGTCAAAAGCGTTTAGGCAGCAGTGAAGATGATATTTACACCCCCACCCCCAAATGCGAGTGTGTAAAGTTAAAAAGTAATACTGTAGAAGGGGCTACTAAAACGTACATGCATAATTGGATTAATAAATGCTTTATACATATTTAATCGCAAAAATATCCAAAACAAGAATGTACTTTTAATATTTTCATATTCTCGACATTATAAGCTTGAATCCTGTTTTCCACTAGGCAAATTCATTCATGTGAATCAAAAGCGTTCATTTGCAGGAGCATTCACATTTCTATCAGATTTTTTTTTACCTCAGCGAAATCAGTAGTCCAAACTCTGTCTACTTTTTGCGAACTGAAAAAATGCGCAACCAATCAGAGCTCAGGGAGCGATTCATGCAAATAAATTGCCTATAGGAAAACAGTGATTTAATGGAATAGACTTACTATTGCAAGAGAATAAGCATTACAGCTTACTAAAGTATTCATTACAGCCAAATTCTTATGCCAATTACTCAGTTTAACAATTAGCGACAATAATACAAAATCATACCTGCAAATCCAGGCGCATTCATTCCAGGTAACATAGGTAGAAGTCCAGGTACAAGTCCAATAGACCGTCCTGTTGTGCAAAAAGAACAGTAGGGAATTAGAAAATGCATGTGGCCAGTGGTATAAGACTACCAAAATAAACATGAATTTAACAGAAAGAAAAAAAGATTGATATTCCCATTAATAATGATATCAAAGGGAGAAAAATCCAATAAAAAAGATGTAGAATCTTACAAAAAAAGAAAAAATTTGATAAAATCATTTCATATTAAGAAGACAATACAATATTTAAGACAAAATAAATGATATATGACTCATTAAATTTGTTTAAAAAAATACCTTTGGAATCGGCAGCAAATGTAACTTTCCTCTCAGATTTTTCTTCTTTCAACTAAAAAAAAAAATCACAGATTAGCCATAATTTCAATATTAAGAATGAACTTCTTCAAAACATTTGGATTAATTGATGCATCAAATTCAGCAGGTGTCCAACGTTGGGTCTAACTGTTCCTTACTCGCGAAAATATTTATTGCCTGTTGCATTGCATGTAGTTGATCCAGGGGACCTATTTTGAGGTGAAGGTTGCTGTCATAAGGTGCCTACAATGAGTGTCTATGACATAGTTTCAACAACAGTGGAAGAAACATCCTGGTACTGTGTCTGACATACATATTCCATAAAATGCTTAAGTGTGTTTTCAGAAATTAGAACAGATAAATAAAAGAAACCTGAATAAATAATCATTATAGCATGTTAGGCTAACCTGCGCTTAAACCAAACTTAGTACCTTCTCTTGTACACCACTGATATTAATGTTGATTATAATACAGTAGAACCCCTCATTTACATACGGGACGAGCCCAGAGGCGTTCGTAAAAATCATTCGTACGTAAAATCGGGGTTGTGTGAAATTCCTATGTATTTACACTACCGATATGCTAGGCTGGGCTAGGCTAGGCCTGGACTGAAATTTTGTTGGATTGGAGCCAAAACTCCAACTTGCACTCGAAAGAAATTCAAAATAATGATCATAATAATGTATGTACAGTACTATGCATACTGTACTTGTTAATGTGCATACAAACTTTACTCTCTCTTTCTCAGGCAATAATATGACTTATCTTCTAGCTTACGAACAAACACATCCCTGCGGGCGCCTCCAACAGGGCGAGTAACGCAACAACGTTTTTCACTCGATTCATGTGCCATGTGCTTGTGGCGTCAAGTAAATACCTGTACAGAATAACCCGGAAACCAGGGTGACAGGGGTTCACAACTTTTTAAAGAAGAGCGCTGATTGGCTGTAGACACGGCGCTTGGACTTTTATTTTTCGTATGCAATACGATTGCTCTTATCTACGTTTACATTTATGTAATGCAAAAATAAAGTTATAAAGACAATATGTCAGTGTCTTATTTTATGATAAATAAAATCCATTTATAATTAAGGGGTTCATTAAATTTCGATATGAGGGTGGTGTATTCAGAGATGAATAAATCATACGCCTATCGATATGCCGACAACTTACACATTGGGCGGCGTTTTCTCACGGCTGCAGACATGAAGTTTGATCGCCGTGTTGAATGTCGGTGTATTCAAAGCTCACTGTCGGCGTTTTGTATTGTAGTACAGATCGCTGATAGTGTATAGCAAACCATCTAAGACCGAGTGAATAAACTCCAGCACATGCCTAACGATTAATTGTGTTTTGTGCATGAAATAGGAACTTTATTTATGACAACAATGACATGATTTTACGTTCGTAAAATCTGGAATTCGTAAATGAGGGGTTCTACTGTATATTCATATTCATGTTCAAAATAGAGATAACACACATGAATAAATTGATAGGACAAGCATATAACATTGTATTATGTTCTTATAAAAAAATAAAATTCTACAATTGTTTTATATTCAATATTTGTTTTAAATGAGTTTTTGTTTCAATGTTTAAATATGGCTAAGATGGTAATTTCACTTTAACTCTGTTGGGATAAGTTCATTCCAGCAAATTGAATTTTCCTTGTGCTCAGGAGAACACTAAAGGTTGGTATCACTATTGTTTCCACGATAAAAAGAACTTCAACCAATGCCTGCACTATGATATTGTCCTTAAGCATTTCCAGACATGACACTTAAACTAACAGTTAAAACATTTTCAGAAATTTACCCCTGGGTCTCCTGTTGACTTCTTCAATGCTGGCCTGACACTGGGTACAGGTTCACTTTCGTATCCCATAAGTCTAAGCATTTCCTCTGCTGAGGCTTTCTTGGCTGCTTTTTTGGTTGGTCCAACTCCTGTGCATTTGTGAGGACCAGCAACACACTGTGGATAGTAATAATAACGTTATATTTATATAGCGCATATTGCACATTGCCTTTGTGCGTTTTACACAGAAATAATATAGGCCAACCTAAATAATACAAATAACTATATAAAATAATAATAAAATAAAATAAAAAATAATCATCATAACAACAACAATAATAAAAAAAATGAGGCTAAACTACTCCTTTTCCTTAAACTAATTAATGGATAGTTTAAAGAAATCAATAGTAATCTTGTGTAGAACAATTCAGGATAAACCTGTAGATTGACAAAGAACTAACTGCAACAGAAATAATTTTTGCTGAATCTGGTCCTGAAATATATACATAACACACTAAAGTCCCAAAAAATCTGATCAGGTGAACATTGTTAATTTTAAGGATATTCAATGACTTAACAAGTTACTAACATATTTCATTCTTTCAATTGAACAATTAAACTTTCGGTGACGGTGATTGGTTGGTCAAATAGGAAAGCCTTCCTGATTGCATCGGGGACTGCTGCGCAGCACAACGATTGCACTGATAACACTGTAGAGACAGTGTAGCAATTTTATGGAAACCAGGCTTTACCTGCATTGTGAACTCTCGTCTCCTCACTGGCAGTTTCTTCTCTTGAATGACAGTAAACATTGCTTCCACTTTCTTCTCTTGTTTTTGGAGGATCTGGACGAGTCGGCTAATAGGATTGAGAGCGGCATTCAGTTCGGGGCTTGTAGCAGCAGCCTAATCAATTAAATCATATATATAAATTTTTTGTTAGAAACATAAAAAAAGAACAACATATATATTACATAAACTTGCAGCAAATATACATTCTAATACTAAATTCAGTTGAAAAGTAGACAAGGTTTAACCAAGTCTACTGTCATTGAACTTTCCAAGTTTAAACTGACAAATATAATAATACAAATATTAACATGTCTGAAGGTACACTTTTTTTTTTAAATGGAAAGAAAAATTTAAATGCTGTATAAAGAATATATTTGAGATTGAATGCTGTAATATATTTGCTGAGCTGTAATAAAGATGCTTATTTTTAAATATTACTACATTAAACGAAGGTACAAGATTCATAAATACCTTTGAGATCGACTTTGTTTTCTTCTTGTTCTTCTGAAAACGAGGCCGAGGTCTATATGATGGTGTTTTTTGTGGAAGCGTTTGTAGCTTCTTTAGCATGGCATTTGCGGCGTGGTGCTTGGCTTGCTTTTTGGACAAACCTTCTCCATCACAGACAAATTCTCCACACATACATCTCATCTTGAACTTCTTCATGTGTGCTGGGCCTGACTCTTCAAGAACCTTTCAAATGCAATACATTTTAAATTGTTGCTGTGTTACAACAACTAGTGGCAAGTCTACATTTTAGTGTGTATATTATTGGTATGTATATTTGTTAGTGTGTATATTACAGAGAATAATAAAAACTGAAAAAATGCATTTTTCTCAAAAAGGTACAAACACAGAAACAGCATGGTATTATTCTTACAATTAATAACAGGCAAATATTCAGTAAATATACATCAAATTTTCTCGGACTCCATTAATTAAAAGATAAATATGAATCATATTAACAGCATTTCAGAAACAAACAAATGGCAATTGAGTAAAATGCTGCACTTACTTCAAATTCTACATTGAGGTTATGAGGATGAGCGAGCTCATATACCAGACTGATCTCAGACTTGCCTACTTCATCGGACTCAAAAGCACCTTATGTAAGAAATACATTGTTATAATTTATTTCTTCTTTTGGTATAGAAACACAAACAATAAATCTATTTGGTAATAATAACAACAATGATATAATTTTTAATTTATAACAGCCTTTTTCCTAGCTATACATGGTGCTAATAAAATTAGACAATAACAAAAAGAAAAGAAAAACAGAAAATACAGTAGAAACAAAAATATATGGCTTTGTGGTTTAGCCTGATGGAAAAAGTAAAGGTTTTAATGAGCTAGGAAGTATTGTGTAATGCCATATAAACAAGGGCATCCAAAGGAAAAGAGCAGCAGTAGATTGTTCAGAAGAGAAGACATTTAGAGGAGGGGTGGGAGGTAGGCATTGACATTCTGAAAGATAGACTAAGAAGAAGCTAATCACAATGAATGAGTAAGAAGAGAATGAACACAAACTAAATGTAGTAAGAACCCACTTTGAGTGCATTACTACTACCAGACACTGCACTTACCTTTGTTTGTTTCGGTTTGAGCATCACTGCATGCTGTACTTGTGGCCTACAGAGTAAGAAATTGAAA